TATGCAACGGAGACAGAGGAACTGGGAGAATGGAATGGGGTCTTTACAGGAAGGTGGGTGCAAGGATCTATGGCCCAGGTAGCTTTTCCAGCAACTTCTGTTTTTGTTTCTGATAAGGAGGATAGCATCAATCTTCAAAAGAATGTGAGTTAGTGGCATGGACTAATAAGGTGCAGATTAAATTTAATGCTGAGTTCTGTAAATGAAAATACAAACAAAGTGTTGGATAAACTCACCATGACTGTCAGCACCTGTGCAGAGAGAAATATGAATGTTTCACATTCAAAAATGACTCCACTTCATCATGTGTCATAAGCTGATTTATCTTTACAAGAGCTCCACAACATGAATATGCAATGAATGAGCCCTCCCTCAATTTTAGGATGACTAAACACATTCTTGTTACCTCTTGTTCACAGAGATGCACACTAATTATAAATTTCAATGAAGATCCTGATCTGTTTTTTTTTTGCCAGCCTCTTGCAACACTATTGTGGCAGTCCAGGAAGGAGAGTGGGTGGTGCTCTGTGTACAGAAGACTGAGTTTTCATTTCTGATTTGGCTTCAAAATGCCTTAGAGCAAGCAGGATACTTATAATATTTTGGTATCGTTGTCCCCAAACCTGGGGTTTCCTGTAAAACTAACTGCAGTATAACCCAACAATCTCATCTCAACTTTCCGTCCCTGAAAGTCAAAGAGTCATGCATCACGGAAATAGGATCTTCAACCTACCTTATCTATGCTGATAAACAGACACTAAACTAGACTAAATAAAAACCGAAAGAACTACAGATGCTGTAAATCAGGAACAAAAATAAAGTTGCTGGAAAAGCTCAGCAGGTCTGGCAGCATCTGTGAAGGAAAAAACAGAGTTAATGTTTCCAGTCCAGTGACTGAAACGTTAACTCTATCTTTTCCCTCACAGATGTTGTCAGACCTGCTGAGCTTTTCCAGCAACTTTGTTTTTGTTCCTAAACTAAACTAATCCTGTTTAGCTGCATTTGGTCCATAGCTTACTATGCCTTGGCATTTTAAGTGCTTATCCAATTGTTTCTTAAATATTGTGAGAGTACCTGCCTCCACCACACTCTCAGGCACCATGTTTCACACTACTATCAGCCTCTGGGTGATAAAAGGTTTTTCTCACATCTCCTCCAAACCACTTATTTCTCACCTTAAACTTATGACACATCCACCATCGGGCAAAGATTCTCATGATCTATCCTATCTATGCCTCTTATAATCTTGTACACCTTAATCAAATCCCCCTTCAGCCTCCTCTGCTCCAGGGAAAACAAACCTAGCCTATCCAGTCTCTCCACACAATTGAGACTTTCCATCCCAGGTAACATCTTGGTGAATCCCTTCTCCCCTCAAGCCTGCAAGAAAAATATAAATTGCCAAAAGCTGAATATTTGAATAAACCATCCCATTTCGTAGAATTGCAACTGAAGAAACAGAACTCAGAATATCAAACTAATTTAGCATACCGAAAGAACTACGGATGTGGGAAATCAGGGACAAAAAGTGAAGTTGCTGGAAATGCTCAGCAGGTCTGGCAGCATCTGCTAAGGAAAACCAGAGTTAATGTTTAGGGTCTGATGAACCTTCCTCAGGACCCAAAACATTAACTCTGATTTTTTTCTTCACAGATGCTGCCAGACCTGCTGGGTTTTACCAGCTACTGCTGTTTTCGTACCCCATAAACTTCAGCTGATGCATCAGTACAGCTCCGTTTTGAACACCACTTGGGGGAAGCATTTAGGCATAAAAGCATAATACTCAATCCTGGTGGGGACTTCACCAGCAGCACTGAGTTGGTCAAATCTTAAAAGACTTTGCTGCTAAACTAGGTCTGCGGCAGGTAGTGAGGGAATCAACAAGATAAAAAAAATATACAAACACATACTCGCCTGCCACAGATGTATCTGTCCATGACACTATCAACTTGAGTAACCACCATATAGTCTGTGTGCAGAAGAATCTTTCACATTGAGGATACTTTCCATTGTGTTGTGTGACCCCCATCGCTGTGCTGAATGGGATAGATTTCATAACATCTAGAAACTCAAGACTGGGCATCCATGAGGGGCTGTGGACTATCAGAGCAGCTGATTGTATTCCAAACAAATATGCAATCTCATGGTTTGGCAAATTCCCCAGTGGAACATTATCATTAGGTCACGGAAATCAACCCTAGTTCAATGGAGAGTACAGGAGGGCATGCCAGGAGGGCATGCCAGGAGGTGCACCACACATACCTAAAAATGAGGGGTCAACCTGATGAAGCAATCAAACAGGACTTCTTGTGCACCAAACAGCATAAGCAGCATGAGATAAATAGAACAAAATTATTTCACAACCAACGATCAAATCTAAGCTCTACAGTCCTGTCACATCCAGTCATCAATGATGGGAGACAAGTCTACAACTCACTGGAAGCTGAGGTTCCACAATCATCTTCATTCTCAGTGGTGGGATAGCCCAGCATGTCAGTGCAAAGAGAACACTGAAGCGTTTGATACAACCTTCAATCAGAACTGCTGAATGGAAGATAGCAAGAACTTCAGATGCTGGAGTCAGAGTCAACCCAGTGTGGAGCTGGAGGAACACAGCAGGCCGGGCAGCATTGGAGAAGCAGGAAAGTCAATGTCTTGGGTTGGGACCCTTCTTCAGCACTGGCGAGGGGAATGAGAGCTGGGAAATAAATACAGGGAGGAGCAGTGAGGCTGGGGGCAGGTAGATGGGATGGTGATACGTGGATACAGGTAGAAGGTGGTGGGGATTGGTCAGTGGGAAGGTGAGGTGGATAGGTGGGAGAGAAGATGAACAGGCAATGTCAGGTCAAGGAGGTGGGGACGAGAGGGAGGTTTGGACATGGGATGAGGCTGGGGGTGGGGAGATTTTAAAGCTGGTGAATTCCATGTTCAGACCATCGGGCTGTAGGCTCCTGAGGTGGAATATGAGGTGCTGCTCCGCCAGTTTCCAGGTGGTGCCATTGTGACACTAGAGAGGCCCAGGATGGACTTGTCACCCAGGGAGTGGGAGGGGGAGTTAAAATGGTTGGTGACCAGAAGGTGTTGTCGATTATCACGTACAGAGCGCAGATGTTCCACAAAATGGACCCTGAATCTGCGCTTGGTCTCACCGATGTAGCGGAGGCCACCCCTCCTCCCTCTATGTATTTCCCAGGTCCCTTTCCCCTCCCCATTTCTGAAGAAGAGTCCCGACCCAAAACATCGACTTCTCTGCTCCTCTGATGCTGCCTGACCTGCTGTGTTCCTCCAGCTCCACACTGTGCTGAATGGATGATCCATCTTGGCCTCCTCCAGCAGTCCCTTGCATTACAGATGCCAGTCTTCAGTTAATTTGATTCACAATCTGTAATATCATGAAACAACTGAAGTCACTGGACACTGCAAAGGCTATGGGACTTGACAATATTCCAGCAATTGGACTGAAAACGTGTGCTCCAGACTTGTCGTGCCCTTAGCCAATTTGTTCCAATATAGTTACAACACTGGCAAGTCACCGAACATGTGGAAAATTTCCCAGATATGTTCTGTATAACAAAAAAAAGGACAAATCCAACCGGCTAATTACCATCCATCATACTACACTCAATCATTACTAAAGTGATGAAAGGAAGTGAAAATAACAACTCTTGACATCAAGGCTGCATTTTGCCGAATGTGATATCAAGGAGCACAAGCAAAATTAATCAGTGAGAATGCTCTCCACAGGCAATCCTCAGGGAAGTGCTCTAGGCCCAATAATCTTCAGCTGCTTGAATCAGAAGTGAAGATGTTGGCCAATGATTGATCAGTGTTCAGCACCATTCGTATCTCCTCAGATACTGATGAAGTCTATGTCAAAATGGAGCAAGACCTGTAGGATATCAAGGCCTGGGCTGGCAAATGGCAAGTCAGGTTCATACTGCTCAACGTCTAAGCAATAACCATCTCTAACAGGAGAGACAATATCTAACTATCTTACTTTGACATTTGATTGTATTATAATCACCGAATTCCCCACTATCAACATCCTTGGGGTTACCATTGACCACAAACTGAACTAGGCTAGCCACATAAATACTGTTGCTTCAAGTACAGGCCAGAAGCTAGGAGTCCTACAGTGAGTAACACACTTCCTGATTCCCCAAAGCCTGTCTAGCATCTACAAGCCACAAGCTAGGAGGGTGATGGAATACTCCTCACTTGTCTGGATGAGTTCAGCTCCAACAACACTCAAGAAACTTGACACCATCCAGGAGAAAGCAGCCTGCTTGATTGGCACCACATCCACATGCATCTGTTCCCTCTTCCATCGATACACAAGAATGATATTGGCACCCAATCAATGTTTCCAGAGGATAAGATGCACCTGCAGAGCACAAGCAGCAAAAGTGACTGGCAGCCATAATGACATCCACCACTGGATTGTGGAACAGCACCATGGTCTGCCAGCAGCTTAACTAAATACAAAATTGCCAACTGAAACATAAAGTGCCTGATCCAGCGCAAGACTATCATCATTTCTGCCTGTACTAAACCCATTAGCTGCACAGACAATTGAGGTTCAGCAGATTATAAATTGAGAATCCCATTCCTGCCCTATGCAATCCATTAGTACGCTCCTCTAGGAGATCATCACATCATTAACTGGAGTGAACTGACTACTGGCTTAGCCCATTCACCTCCCCCTTTCCACATCTTCCAACATACCAGCCTCTATTTGAAAACTCCAGCATATTCAAGAGGCATCAGGACACTGCTGCTTTTTTCAAAGCATGGCCAGTCCTGGTCTCACCATCTTTGGTATTAGAAAGTCCTGACTTAATTGTGAACAAAGGACCACTTCCCATATGCCTCATAAGACAAGGCAGAAAATTCATGAAGACTCTGTTCAGGCTACAGATACAGATTAGAACTGATTTTTTTAGCATCATGGATTAATAGCAAAAGATTTTATTAAGTCACCAAATAACACAGGAATATACCTGAGAGTGAATAGTCACCCAACTTGCTTTCACTTTCTCGGACTATAAAGGAGCCGTTTCCATTTCCAGTCATTAACAATTGTTTCTCTGCATCTATGCGTTTGATCCCGCCAAAGAAATATCTGCAATAAAGGAGAAAAACATTTTTAATATGAGCTGTAGTTTGAAAAAGATTTGGAGAAAGGTTAAGTAAGACTGAAACACCATAAAGAGAAATTGAAGCTTTTAGATATGTTAAACTTTCATTGGACCAAAGTTCTGCTGGCTGGGTCAGCAATTATTGCCCATTTCTAGATGCTCTTGAGAAGGTGGTGGTGAGCCACTTTCTTGAACACTACAGTCCATTTAGTCTGGCTACCTCCACTATGCTGTTAGGTAGGCAGTTTCATGACTTTGACCCCGTGACAGTGACGGAGCATTCATGTATTTCCAAGTCAGGATGGTTAGTGGTTTGAAATGGAACTTGCAGATGATGGTGTTCCAATCTATCTGCTGCTCTTGTACTACTGGATGGAAGTGGTCATAGTTTTAGAAGGTGCTGTCTTTAGAAGGTTTGGTGAATTTCTGAAGTGCATCTTGTAGATGGCACACACTGCTGCTACTGAGTGTAGGTGATGGAGATAATGTATGTTTGTGGATGTAGTGTTTAATGGTAATTCCCATGATGTTGATAATGGGGGATTCAGCAATATTTATGCCATTGAATGTCAAGGAGAAATAGTCAGATGCTCCCTTGTTGGAAATAGTCCTTGCTTAACACTGACATTGCAGGAATGTTAATTGCCTCGCCAGCCTAAACATGGGTTACTGTCCAGGTCTTGCTGTATTTGGACATGGACTGCTTCAGTTTGAGAAGTCATGCACGATGCTGAACATTGGTGATTGCACAACAAACATTCCCACTTCTTATTTTTATGACGAAGGGAAAATCATTGATGAAGCAGCTAAATATTGTTGCGCCTAAGACACTACCCTAATGAATTTCTCCAGAGATATCCTGAATCTGGAGGCGCCTGGCTTCAACAACCACCATGATTTTTCTTTGTGCTAGGTATGACTCCAACCAGTGGAGAGATTTTCCCTGATTCCCACCGAATACGGTTTTGCTCAGGCTCCTTGATACCCCTCACCTCATCAATTCAGTTCTTTTGTCCACTGTTGAAACAGCGTTGTAATGAGGTCAGGAGCTGAGTGGACTTTGTGGAACCCAAACTGAGCATCAATAAGCAGATTATTGCTAACCACATGTTTTTGATGGTAACCACAAGCCAGTTAGTTTAACATCTGTCATTGGGAAAGTGTTAGAATTTATCACAAAGAATGTAATATTGGAGCATTTAGAAAAACATAATTAATCAAGCAGAGTCAAATAACTTCATGAAGGGGATATTATGCCTGACAAATGTACTTACTGGGGGTTAAGGGGTTAACAAACAGAACAGATACAGATGAACCACTAGATGCAATATATTTTGATTTCCATTTTCCATAAAACCCCATCTGGTTCACTAACATAGTCTCGGGAAAGAAATCTACCTTGCTTGCCTATTCTGGCCTACATGTAACACCAGGCCCACAGCAATGTAGTTGACTCTTAACTGTCATCTGAAAATGGACTAGCAAGCCACTCAAGTCAAGGGTAAGTAGGAATTGACAACAAATGCTAGACTTGCCAGCGATAACTACATCACATTAAAGAAAATGTTTGACTTATTCTACAAAGTGACAAGAAGTTAAGATACTGGAGAAATAAGCAATTATCAAGCGTATAGGATCGTACAGCTTATCTCATCAGAAGAAGTTTTGAAACAGATTATTGCATTTTGCTGTTACTACAAAAATGGGTTGCTCTTGCACAGACTCAACAGAATTAAAGGAACTGTAATTGCAATCCTTCGCCAGTGCTAGCAAGTTACAGCAGAAAGGATCAATATTCATTGTTGCATTTTACAGGTCCCTTGCAAAATTGAAAGGGTGTTCAAACCATCTTGTAAAAGTCACTGCTCAATTGATCATATGGACATGACAGCAACAATATTTCCTGTCTGTGAAAACTCAATTAAGCTACATGTTTTTGAACTGATGTAGTCATCAATAAAAAACCGATGCACTAAGTAACATGGATCACAAAGAAAGTGTTGATGCTTTTCATTGCTTTCTCAGTTACAACATTGATAATTTATACAACAGTTAAACAGCAGCCCTGAAGATTCTCACACAGCACACGGAATATGGAATTCCATGGCCACCAACCACTACATTTGCATAATGATTTCTACACAAAGTTAAACACCAGTATTGAAATGTTATCTAAAAAACTTAAATTCAAATTTATTGAGAATAATTGCTTTCAATGCTGCTTAGTTGCTAGTTTTCTATTCTAGCTATTTTACTCAGTTATAGGGACTACTGGAGAACTTTGCAAAATAAACGGCACAAATGGATACCACCATATAACAGAAGGGACTTTGTTTTTTATTGTCAAGAACAGATTAATACGCAGGTCTATGAGGTAACTGTAGAGGTGCAGCTTGGTCATTGGTGAATTACAGTATAATGCATAAATACTAAATTAAAATATCAAATTAACATAATATCGTATTAACAACATTCCAAGGCCCTTCATATAAGCGTTATAAAATAAGACTATATTAGCTTCTTTAAAATACTCATTCAAACCTCCATGTCTGACAATGTTTCTCATCACCTAATATCTCGAAGTAGCTGGTGTCAAATTTTGTTTGGTAACTTCCCTAATTTAGGTTAAGTATGTCAAAAATGCCATAGAAATACTAGTTATATTACTTTATTCTTCATGCGTCTATCTTTCTCTTAGAAACATCTATGCTCTTTCCTCCATTGCTTTTTGTGCTAGTGGGTTCCACATTCTAATTACTCTCTAGCTATCTTTCTTTCCTGAATTTCTATTGAATTCTTTAGTGACTCATGTATATAAATGGCTGCTAATTCTTGTCCCC